TATATATATACATATATATACATATATCCCATACTGGTGTCTGAATTCCATAAAAATTTTATTTTGTGTTAAGTGGCAGGTCTGCAAAGAAACTGTGTATTTAACCCCAATTACATATTGCTAGGACCAGGCACTGCATGGGCTTGTGTTCCTACAAAAATAATGTATATACAACTGTGTTAAAAAACAAAGAAACTGTGCCACATTCAGGCAAGTTCTAAAAGGTGAGGTTGCTACACTGAAACTTAGCAACATCTTTTGTGATACTTGTGTTTACTTTCTCAGGAAACTTGCTCTGTTTTTGTAGTCTTAGGTGGGAGTTTTGCCTCAAAAAGAATAATGGACACAAGATGTACCTGTATCATCTACTCCTAACACTTGCTGGTATAAGCAGGAGTCAGGGACATGCACTGCATGCTGGGTGGAGGGTGATTTCCTTCACTGATGCCCCTCTTAAAGGCATGAGATCCTGTAGTCTGGATGTAGGGAAGGGTCTGATTTACCCTAGACAGAACATGCCATATCATCAGTAGTGCTGGGCCGTATTTATTACCTGATCAAAACCAACATTAAAATTAGGTTTGTTTTTTTTTTTTTATCGGTCACAAATAAGTCAAGCAGGAAGAAAAGAGTGATTCTAAAAACCAACAAATATTTATCATTCAAATATCTGGGGACATGTCATAAAGGGAAGGCAAAGTGGCTTTGCTGGGCTATGAAAAAGAAGTGAGTAGCCTTTAAATTTGCCTAGATGTTTTTCTGGATTTTTGAGCTCTGGCCTTTTGGGGGAAAGAATAATGTAAATGACAAAAAGAGTTGGACAAAAAGTAAGCTTTTTATCCTATCTATGAGAATCAGATGATGTGTGTCATGTTAGTTTTTACAGTCATAGTCTACAGTCTTCCACTGACTAAAATCAAATTTGACAGTAACACAATATAGAGGTTTAACTGACAGCACACACAGCACATTTGCTAGTCATAACACCACAGTTTAATGACTGACGCATGTGGGAAGCTAATTCGGATTTTTTTTTTTTTTGAATGGGATAAATGAGCATCCAGTTAATACCAATCATGAATTCAAGCCATGTGACAAAAATTGATGCTACATACCCTGTTCTTGTTTTGCATATTCTGCAAATTGAGCTGCAGGAAAAGAGCCAGTTTGTACACACATCCGGAGAGAAAGTTCATTCTGCTTTCTGACACATCCGCCAATCACAGCTGAATGTATCCAGCTTGCGGCTGTTGTGTCCACAAACTAATTAGCCTTTCTCTGTTAAATGGCCTAAGAATTATGAACTGTATGCCTGTTTTGAGAAAAAGTACAGGTTGAACAAGCAGTCATAGTATAAATAAAATATTTATATAAAAATAGTCTCTTACAAAATATATTCTCTTATCCTCTGGTTGATTTTTCCAAAAGATGGAAGTTTGTCTGGATTTTCTTATTTTTAGACATATTCCAAACAGGATTTTATTAATGTTTCTTTCTTTAATTGAAGGAAAACAAAACAAAATAAAACAAAACAAAAAAAAACCCAAACAACCAACCCCCAACCTGATAAAGATTTGTAACCCCTACCACTTGACTTTTGTTCCAGACAACTAGCAGCAAACAGGAGGAAAAAACCAAAAACAAAAACAACAAACCCCAACCAACCAAAAAAAAAAAAAAACCACCCCAAAATCAACAGTGTGTGTTTGTGTATGTACATATATATAAAGATGCCAGCTTTTGTACTTAAACACCTAGTAGTCGAATGTATCCTCCAAGTCCAACTAATAGAAACATCCTAGTTAAGAATAATATATACAGCTCCAGTTTTTCTTTGCTGTTTCTACAAAATCATTCCACAAAGAAAGCCAGCTATCTACTTTAATTGCAGAATAGTTCCAAAAATGTTGGTAGAGTTCTTTTTAATTAAATAAATTAATATTAGTTTTATCTGAATAAACTGTTAAATATTGCTATTATTATGCCCATATGTCCAAAATCCCTGTGCTAAAATCTGCAGCGCACACACACACACAGAAGAGGCAGGTAAAGCAGTGCCTACAGAAAATTTCAACAGTTCTACTTGCTGTAGCAAATGGTATGAAGTGAAAAAGTGGGCAAGACCACCAGAAGTTTTTGCAAGTGTAGAGGCCTAAATCTGTGTCATCCACACGCTCACGTGGGCAATTCACGATGGGGGACTATCCAGCCCATCCTGTGCAAAGCCCCTTCTTCGAGGATTTCTCCCTTACCCCTCCCTGCTCCTTATATACTGAAGTTTTTGACCATCTTTTATCCAAGCCAAGAGTTAGTTGCCGAGCTCAGAGATTTCTCTCTGACTGGCACCTCTTCCCAAGGCAGTCAATGCTTCTTGCTTTAGAGGTGCAGATTAACCAAGATAATCTTTTTCTCTCTGTTTTGTGTGTCAGGTGACTCAGGGTGGGGTTTGTTTTTGTTTCGTGGCTGACTTTCCTAAGTGTCTGAAATGTGTATCCACATCAGCAGTGAAACATGGGAAGAAAAGAGAGGGCTCCATTCATCAGCATTTCTTCTGGGAGAGCAGGTCTTTCCTACAGTCTTGCGTAGCTACGTTGAGTGCATGTGCAAATGTATTCGTGGCTCAGGACGCGTCCGTCTGCCCAGCCACGTTCTCACTTACAGGTATATACCTCTGTTCTTTCGCTGCACGTGTTGCATTTCACATAGCAGCACCAATGAAATTTACAGTTGCACTGCCACACTCTTGAGTACTGGTGGGTATTGTAACCTCGACCACAGCACATCAGATCACAGCCGTTGGACTGCTGGGCTGTCTTGTTACACATCCTTCCCTGTGTCCCCACGCTGCCAGTGACAGGGTCTTCTTCACAATAATTGGGAGATTTTTCTATGTACACTAAGTCTGTATCCATGGGTTTGCGATAGGAAAGCGGCTTCTTTATTTTGAGGAAGGTTGGACGCTTGTTACGACTTGCTCTCACTGGTTCAACCTGAACGGCCTCGTTATATTTGTCCTTAAGGATGTAGCCCAGCTCCCGGAATTTAGGAAGAGTTGTCCAGCATGTTTTAGTGGTACAGGATCCTGAGACCCCATGGCACTTGCACTCCAACTTCATGTTTTCTTCCAGAATCTGTGTTTGGAAGAACAGAGAATAATGCATTAATACTAACTAGAGTGAGAAAAGAAAAATACAAAATAACAAAACAAAACAAAACAACAACAACAACAACAAAACAAATCTGGGTTATTTGATAAATATTGAATGAGTCATGGATGGGTTTTGCTCTCCAGCACGAGCTGACACCATCCAGAGGCCACGTTCCCACCACACCTGTGGGATTTGCTTCAGTGAAGAGGCTGTTGTCCCAGGTAGCAAATGCTCATCAGCATCAATCAAGTTCAGCCTGCAAAGCTGATCCCCGTTTACACTTGGAGTTAAGCAGGGATGATAACTTTGCCTAATTTTACAGTGCACTTACCAAAGGTAAAATGAGACCCTCCAATATAATTGTAGAGTGCTTCAGATTCATCTGTTGTTGCAATTTTTGGCATATGGCAGTGAAATCAGGAACTTTCAGAAAATGACACCTTTCCATGAAATGCTACATACAGAGCACTTTGAAAGTTCAGCAATAGGTACTAGAACTTGATTTTTGTAAACAGAAGTTCAAATATAAGCTGCATTTCACTTCTTGCACCTGAAAATTACATAAGCTGGTCCAAGGTATGAACAAGCAGATAAACTTTATCAATGCATGTCCTCCTGTTGGTCTCACACTAATAAACAATGTACAGCAGATGATAATTTATCTGCTCTAAACAATCATCTGTTCTATATATTGCAAGTTAAAGTTCTAATCTGGAAATATAAGTGTTATTTTAGTATAGTACACCATAGTCAAGTTCTTTGCACTTTCTAGAGGGTTTGAAGTATTTTGCCTCCTCTCACAGCGATAATGGAGCATGGTAAATGCGTCAGCTACTTTGCAAGAAAACTAGAGCATAAAGGGTAAGGGTAAAGATGAGGAATTGGTTTAATGTTTTGTCATCAGTTCTTGTTAAAAAAATCTACCTCCTTAATACTGTAAAAGCCTTTCAAACACCTCAATATCATGGCTTGCTGTACCTTGCCTCATGTTCACTTCGCTGGAGAGGTCTCTCACACTTGTGCCTGAGTTGTCACTGCTTTCCTTTTGAAGATAAGAAGCTTCATCTTCTCTTCAATTTTCACGTCCCTTGAAACTTTATTCTTGTACCTTTGTCCTGCTGCTTGTTTACCAACCCAGTGTTTACCAGATAAAACTGGAGACCAGCTTAGTCCCTGCTGTCTGTCTTGAACCCTGTAACTGACACTTAGCAGCTACATTGGGTTAATACTAGAAAACATACTCAATTCCAGCAATTAATTTCCCACTGGTCTTTGCTTGAGAGACACCATAATAATTTTGATGATTAAATTCTGCCTAACATGGCAGATACCAGCAATGGAAAGCCCAGCCAGAGGGATTATCTAGGTTCAGGGAGTGGCCACATAATTTTTCTCCTGAGAAACTCCAGCTGATCCATGCAACTCCAAGCATGGGCAGCCTAAAAGGCTGAAAGGAGGTCAATGATAGGGAATTTTGAGTTAACTCTTTGTTATAATCCCCACACACTTCTGTTTTGGATGTTTGGAAAACTTACCTTGCAGACACTTACTGGCTGCTGCTGCAAATGGCAGCCTGCACTGAAGGAGCCAAGTCCAGCTCAAAGGCTAGACGTGTGTGGGGACTTCAAGTCTGAAATGTCAGCATAAAGTGGAGGTGGCAAGGAGAGAAAGGGCACATCTACACCTGTGCAGCCAGCAGATCATCAGTCATGGACTAACACTGACAAACATAGCCCCATCTTGTTCTGGGCAGCCTTAAAACTAGCAATTTAGGCTGCACATGTCTAAATAGACTTCTCATACCTGTTGGTTCCTAGGCACAGTAATTGCTATTGCTTAACCTTAGGATAGTCTGCTGCTTCTTTACTCATTGTTCTTCCCCTGCCCCTTTCCAATGAAGATATGGATTTCAAAGGCATTAAAATAGCTTTATTTTTATTTGAGTCTATGAATTAAGTGTCATCATGTGTGGTCTGAAGACAAGAATATAACTTCTAGATAGCATAGGTGCAAGATTTTGACTTCTGTTAGTTTGGCATATATAAGGTCACATTTTGTGCTAGGTTTTAAATTAGCTTTTCATGTACACTGTTTAATGACTATCCTAAAACTCAGATGTGAGAAACTTCTATATTCAGACCTACATCTTAACTTGCAGTTCTGCTCAAGCTTTGGATTACGTTTTACATTATCTTGTTATCTTGAATTTCTCTCTCAGCCACTGCATACTTCTTTTATTGCTCACTCATTCATAAGGTAGTACTTTTAGAAGATAGATGAGGAGATGGAAAAGGAGTTACAGCACAGAAACCGGAAAAATAACATAAATTCTTTTAGCCTCATTCGTACCTTTTTAAAAGCGCCTTTTTTTTTTTTTTTTTTTTTTTTTTTAATTTGAAACTAACCAGGGATACATTTCTCAGCCCTAATTCAATCACTGCTCTTGTTCAAATGGCTGGCCCTTGTATCCCAGCACCATGTTCAAACTTGCAACAAAATATTTCTAACTTGCCTACCATCGGGATCTGCCAAATTGACTTGAAACATTAATGCCAAATACATCATGTGTCATCCATCCACATAGGGCTTTTTTTTCTGCAGTGCAGTTAAATACCCTAAATTGTTTTTTGGTTTGTTTCATTAATATCCCGTTTACAGCCAACAATCTCTGAGAGAATGAGCAGTTCCACGGGAAAGAGCTGAGCAAGCGGCTGGAGCGGGTCAAAAAAAAGCAACCAGGTGGCCTTGTGGCACATGTTGGTCTCCTGCTCCAGGTGACACAATGCCAACCAGAATGAGCTTCTTCTTTTCTGGTCTCAGCTAAGGCTGAGCATGAGTGGTTAGCATAAAAATGTCTGATTTTGTCTGAGTGTGTGAAGTTTGAGCAGTGCTAGTTGAACCCAAGTGCTAGGAATCCTTCTTAGATGACCAAAAATACTTGGAGGGGGATAGGAGTGGGCAGAGGGATGAGGAGGAGTTTTGTCTTTTAATGCTATGCCACATGTATTGTTCTTTTTTTGTTCTTTTTTTTTTCTTTTTTTTTTTTTTGTGTGTAGATAGTATTTCCTAAACTTTACTGTTTAACCCTCCCTTTTGTCTATGCACTTGCTGGGGGTGTGTTTCCAATAAGCTGTGCTAAAACTGCTCCAACACATCTACCCAGCTTGGGTCCACTGTCCTCTGCAACTGAACTTTCCCTTCCAGATCTGCCTTTTCTAACACAGCCTCTCTACCTTCCACTCACAAACCCTTTTGTTGGTTCTGCTCTTGTACATAGATCCTCCTCGCTGGTGCTGTCTTTCAACGTGGTGTTTTGCAAATTCAGCCAGAGATGAATTGACTCTGTAGCCTTTAGAAAATAGGCCACATCTAACTTGAACCATCTATCCTCAGCAAAAGCAAAAGCCTGCAATGGTGACTTGATAGTGTTATTTTACTGTGATATCAGGTGCTTGGACTATTTGATTTACATTAAAATATTTTCACAGTGGTATTTTAATACCATTACATTATTCTAGTAGCCTCTGATAAATCAGTGTCCTATAAATTCAAGAAAAGAGCTGAAAAGAGAAGGAAGAAAATAAAAAAAGGGATTCTTTGGGTAGGAATAGGAGACCTTGATCTTACCCTTGGTTTCCATGAACCAAAAGAAGTGTTCCACCCTTTAAAAACATGGCCTGTGTTAAAACAGTAAGTGTTGCTCATCTTTCAAGATCAGGATCTGATTCTCTCAAGCTTATTGGCCTGTAGCTCACACTTTTAACATTAAATTAAAATTCTACATATATATTATAAGACTGACTTTTCTTAAAACGTAAGAGCACAAAATTTTAAATCCTAGATCCTCTGCTTCTTACCAAATGACCATATCCAGCTCTGTCAGCCATGGAAAGTAAATCTGTATACACCAGCGAATGCTCTGAACTGGATTAAATGTGAACAAAGAGCTGGAGTTCTTTTAGCTTTGTCCACTTTTTCTTTGAGCTCTTACAGTAAACTGTCAGTACTTGTTTCTCTCTGTCTCTCCCCCTTGCCATTAGCCTCTGGGAAATAGTTTGTGCGAAGAGAACTTGTGCTGGCTCCCTCTGTTGATGTTATCTTCAGATATAGTACCTTTGGGCACTGCCATTAGGAACTTAACATGTTTTTTCTTTGCCTTTAGTTTTGCAGAGAATGCACAGGGTGCATCATGTGAGGGTGGCAAGCTGTAGCCCAGGAGCTGCATGGGCTGGAGCCAGCACTGTGGTCCTGCAGTAGGCAGAGTGCCTGGTAGTGGTACCCTAACTGGGGACTGGCTGGGCCAATGGTCCTGGTTTCCAGTGAAACCAGCAGAAAGCGCTGGCTGGTGTGACTTGGCACTGGAATGGCATTTGCTTACAAGTGCTGCCGTTGCTGCCCTGCAGCCATGTCACAATTTGCCCTCTGGGTGCTGTGGGTGCTCAAGTCTGGGCAAACAGAAAGATGGTTACGGGGCTGGCGTGCTCAGAAACACTGATCACCCTCCTGCTTCTTCAGCTCAGGGCCTCTGTTAGCCGAGTTAGTTGGTGGTTTGTACCTCCCTGGGTTTCTAGCATCTAAAGTCACCTGACGTTTCAAACGCATCTGAGACCCCACTTTTCCACTCAGGTGGGGTCAGGTACCACACAGCCCTGAGTTCAGTCACCAGAACTCTAAAGAACTCAATGCCAAAGCTGTCCTGAAGGACTTACAGCATGAAATCCAGTGACCATCACCCCTCCAGCATATTCTCCTTCACCAACAGGATTCCCATGGAAACTGAACCCTGACTCACAGTCAATACACTGCCAATACCACAGTGCCTTGGGCCAGGGACCCTCTACTGCTTTGTCAGAAATAACTCAGGCTCCAGTCTACACATGAAGCAGATGTAATTAGTGAGACAACAGCACTGATTCCTATCCCACAAAGGCCATAATCTTTTCTAATTTTGTCTGACATCAGATCACCTGGGTCAGGAAATA